CTATACTGTTGATGAAGTCAGGTACTGTTCTGAGCGTTTTTTGTGTCTACAAAATGGCTTTTTGGTTAAGGTTTGCATGTAGAGACGTAGACCGCTGTGTATTGCTGCCCTGCGGTCTTTGCTGAAGTTGGTATAACTAGAGAAGCAAGCAGTCTGCAACATTCATCTTGTGAGGGCGTGTCTAACTCAGTGTTACGGTGTGTTTGACCATAACTTAAATTTATGCTGGAATATCCCTTTAAGCCATCTTCCCACAATGCAAAGAGTGACTAATGTTGAATGCTCAAGCCTGCTACACAGCAATGCAGTGTGGTCAAAAAATCCACAATAAATCATATATCTTTTATATAAATGGACATAATGAATGAGATAGAGGTGTACACGTACCCAATGAAGGATCCTTGAAGAGGTCTGACAGGAAAATAAAAACTAGTTTTCACTGTTCATTAGGCTTATCTCGGCTAAAGAAATTGAAGCATTCCAAAAGAAATAGTCTGGGTCCATTTTATGTGGTGAAGGCCACCCACAAGCACTGATAAAGTTTACTACCTAATAATTATTCCCCATAAATCTCCTGAAAATAAGTCCTTCCCTACATTACCTGCATGGGTGAATGCAAAATAGTCTAATTTTCACCTCGGCTTCACTTAAATTTATCCTCAGAGCCTGTGTTGTGAACCTGCAGTGAGTTGACCACAGCAGGAGATTCACGGGAAAAGTCATAGCGAACAAGCCCAGGATTGTGATGTTAGTGTTCTTGGTTAAAGGCAAGTCAAGTCAAGTCAAGTCAAGTTTATTTGTATAGCACATTTCAGCAGCAGGGCAATTCAAGGTGCTTTACATGAAACAAGCAGGCAAAACATTCAACACAATTTAAAAAGTAAAAACAGCGTAAAAGACATTTAACAGATTAAAAGTTACATTCAAAGCTAAAATAAGATTGGAGATAAAAGAAAACAAAGGTTAGATTGGAGAGATAGAAAAAAAAAAAAAGATCAAGACAGGCAGATGATGAAGATGTTGATTAAAGGCCTCAGGTTTGATTTAATGATAGGCCACAGCAAACATATGCGTTTTCAGCTGTGATTTAAAAGAGCAAATACAAAAACAAAGTGTTTTAATTATGCAATGGTACTGGAGGATATACAACATGACTTTACTTATGCAAAATATGATTAAACAGGCAGCAGCAGCCATCTTTAAAGATACAAAGTGGTCCAAAGTGTGTGGTCTTAAATTTTTTTTTCTAACCTGCTTTAGTCATTTGACGACAAACACTCTCTGTCAATGTTTGAATCAGAAAAGACATGTGGAGGAGCACTTAATACCTCTAAAAAGCTTCCCTTTAATAAAGCACAACAACAGGATGCCCAGGTGTCCTCTCAGTGTGAGATGACTCACATTCAACAAGCCCCTGATCACACTCAATCAACACAGTGAAGCTGTCTCTTCAGACTATATATCTTGTGATTGGATTGTGTCACTCCTGCAGAGTATACTTTCTACCTCTATTTGCCACACACCACTTGATGGCTTTATTGGATTTTTTTTGTCCACCATATCAACCTGTTAATATCGTAGCTCTTTTTTCATATACTCTACCTCTTGGATGGTGTCTTATCCTTACCACTACAGTATGTGCCTGAAAGCCCCTGCTACACAATAAGTGACTTTAAATGTCTTCTGTTGTGAAATTCAAGCTGTTTTGTATTAAATTTGGTTTCACACTGCTCTGATGAATGTGGTGTTCGACATAACATTGATGTTTTCAGGTCCAAAAAAGAATCACCAACCATGGTGCAAAAGGATTTTCTTAAAAAGTTGAATATGCATATTTGATTGCCATTATACCCACAAGTTAAGAATAAATTATGCATATGAGGTACTTGTTTAAAGAAACTTCCAGACATGCCTTACCGATGGAGAAAGCCATGTATGCATCATGAATACATTAACACGGATACATTTATCAGTGGTTAAGCCTCTCCAAAAACTAGTTTGCGATGAAGTTTGAGATTTTAAAAAGCCGACAAATCCAAGCTGAAAAGCTCAGCTCCTTTGTGGGAAAACCAGACAGAGAGCTCTTAGCAGACACGGTCAGCTCCAATCTGTTATAGTTGAATTTTAAAATGTCACCACTTCAATTTAGGAAAGTCATGAGGAAGCATAAATTCTGTTTAGCTTGTTTATTTATTTTTCCTTTTTGCTCAATTGTCCAAAAGCCCTTAAGTTATTGCAGCATTTGTGGACTGTCTACTGCGAGTTCTTCAGTTGGTGTCTTACCAAAGAGGCCAAGCTGACCAGGATCCCCTGCAGGTAATACACTCTCTATTGAAATGTACCTCTCACAACCTGCTTCCAAAATAAAATCAGCCCTTCAAAATGATGGCTTTGACAGCTGGGCGAGCAGCTGCACACTAAGATGTAGGGCACATTGGCAAACACCATACTGACATTTGACAGCAAATGTCTTGGATGCTAATTTAAGTAAATTATCTTTTAAGACCCCACGGGAGGATCTGAGGCAAAAATGAATTACCGACAAACACCAGGTTTGTATGTAAGAGCCAAAGCTGCATTGCCACATGGTACCGTGTGTTTAATCACTTTGTAGAGATCTGTTACTACAAATGAACTCAATCTCTTGGTTAAAATTGAATATTTGTTGATTTCATGTTGTAATAGAATATTAAAAATGTATTGAATTTCCCTTCAGGAATCAGTAAAGTTCTTATCTTAAAATTGCAATAGGTGTAAAAAAAAATGTTTATCTGTGACTCAGAGGTTTGCATATTTATAAAAAATCTAGCAGTCTTTTTTGCCTTTTTTAATGTTGAATAACAATAATTGGTAATCTAATTCAAGATGACAGCAAAAAAAAAAAAAAAAAGACTAAAGTCACTTTTCATAATCCTGTCCTGCCTCAAGTAAATCACTTTGTGATGATACATAAAGCACAATCCATTTATTAGGTCACATGAATATTGTCAGTGTCACACTGTCTGGCTCAGGTTTATAGTCTCCTCTCTTGTTTTAGGACTCCTTCTCTTTAGGACTGATTTGATGGCTGTATTCTTACTGATTGCTTCCTTGTTCCCCCATCCACTTAGCTTTGTCCTCTCCTCATTATCACCTTTACTTGTCTCTGGGAAGTCAAGGACTGTGAATCACTGAAGGCATGAAGTAAATGGGAGAAAACCATATTTCAAAATGGAAGGCTAGACTGTCCCTGGTTGCATAAAAAGAGTAAAACTGTTTTGTATAATAGATAAATCTCCAGAATGGTGAATGTGATTGAACTCATATAGCTTTTGTACTGGGGCCTTGGATCTCTGGCCGATATTTCTGAATTAAACTGGATATCTGAGCCAGAAAAAGCAACTAAAACACCTTTTGAGCCATTTTTTATGACATTGAGCTTTAAAGTGTACCCAGACTTTACTGTCTTTATTAATCGTGTATATGTCAACTGCTTGTTTGGGCTGCAATCAAGAAAGGCCCACATCTGCCTTTAATATGTAATAAGATCTGTGAAAAAGTTAGTTGTACAAACTACACATACTGTGGTCAAAATAGTTATGTGAACAGGTTCAAGCTCTTTCACATGAACCATTTTTGACATGCTGTGGCAGTATAGGCCTGCTGCTCTTTGGAGTCAAAGATCACCATCACAGTTTTTCTCATGAATTTCAATCGAGCTCGGTTACTATCGAGAGTTCAATTCAGTCAGCTCACTCAGTATGAAGTTTGGGTTGCTGAACAGTTTTGTCTTGACCAAACTGATGTCTATCTCAGAACTTGTGTGTCAGCCAACAAAATAATAAGAAAGCATATAGAGCTTGGGGTATCATGCAGACATCAAACTCCTAAGGGGGTACCTGCAGCTCTGATAGATAAACTGTGTGTCACTCAACTTGAGACGTATGATTTCACATTTTGTGTTTTGGTTTTGTTGGGATTTGAAACACCTCAGGTGTTTGTTGTTCTACTCTAACTAAAATTTGAGAAAACAAGGTTAAAAGTGTTTTGCAGCCATGGTCTAGCTGTGCTGTGGTGAACTGCATTTATTATTAACCACACGGATCCTCTCCTGATTCAGAAAGGTCAGCTGTGCAATTATTCTGCAAAGTTAAATGTAATTCTTTACTTGACCCTCATACCTGCAGTCTTTCCAGGGAAGCTGTAGCAGGGGTTCTGTTCAAAGATACTTGACATTTGAGTCTTTTAAAAATATAGGCAGTGGTTGCTTGGTTGCAAAAACCTTCTTTTACACCCCCCCCCCTCGGATCTAAGCCATGCCTTGGATCCAGGGCCGGCCCTAGCTTTTTTTGGTGCCCCTAGGCGAAATCACTCAATGCCCCCCCAGGACATGCCTGAGTGAAAGAGAACGTCTGTTCACCAGACATGTGTTAAGCAAATGCTTACTTTATTTCAAGCTAGCTAGCTGAAACATGTTCTTTATCCAAAATGATATTTTTGAAAATATGTTGACATACTTATCTTTATATTTGGACTTCTTTTCTCCTTCTCTTTTCTCCTTTCCCAAAACTGAGCGCCCAAGGGCTTAGCTGTCCCTTTCATGATGAAAAAATTGTAAATAAAATCACCCACCCTGTTCTGACTCCTTGCTCGCTTGCTGATTGAGATGCGCCCCCGCATCACGTGACTTGCCAAGTGACAAACATAGTTATTTTATATTGTAATTTTATTTTTTATTATCAAGACAGAAAAGTAAAGGGGGGTAACAGTGGGAGTCATAAATTATTATATGATTTTATCTTCATTTTTTTCCCAAGGGGGAGGGCACTGGCACCCTAGGCAACCGCCTATGTTGCCTATGCCAAGGGCCGGCTACTGTGGCTCTGAGGTGTGAAACACAAAGGCAAATCAGAAAACACTACACAAAAAAAAGAATACACAAAAACAAATCACAAAACACAGCGGCCAAAATGAAAACACACCACAAAAAGAGTTAAACACAATGGCAAATGAGAAAACACAACACAAAAAAGAGAAAACACATCAGCAAAAAGAGAAAACACAAGGACATTAACTGAAACCGGAAAACGTAGGGAGGTGTTTTCTCTTTTGCTGTTGTTTTTTCTCTTTTTGTGTTGTGTTTTCTGATTTACCGTTGTGTTTTGCAACTCAGGGCCACTGTAGACGGCCCTGCTTGGATCAACATGTGTTCTTTCTGTGAGTAAAGTGGTTTGTGGCCTGATGCTGATTTTGAATTTTAATTTTGAGTATTTTACATGGGCCTACTTTTTGAAAAATTAAAAATAAAGAAGGACTGAAAGGCTGAAGTCCACCTGACAAATAAAAAAGAAAAACTGTGAATGTCCCTGAGTGGTTGTTTTATGAATTAATGTTTGTTTGTTTTTTTCTTTGTAATTCTGACAGTGACACATCTTGCCCCTTCAATATTTTTTATGTTTTTTGCCTTTTTTAACTTTTGCTTCAAACGTTCCTTCAAGCGTTTTCATTCAGTACTTTCACGTGCTCTTTCACAAAAGCTGTACAAACGTAGGCAGAGGTAGAACAAACAGTTGAATGTTTAGCTGCTGTATTGTCCTACTACGTCTCCATTCATGAACGGAGCATTCCTGCGGTCACGTGACCGCCCTGCTGGCGAATCACGTTCCCGGAATAATGTGACGCAGGAGATTCAAAGTTGGCAGCAACGTCTCTGTAACCACAGGCTGGCAGCTCACCGTTTTTGCCCACTTCAACAGAAGCTTGTGGAAAGCTACATAAAGTTTTATATCTCCATGTTTTCGTACGAGTAAAGTGGGTTTTCAAAATCAGGATGGAAGGCAAAGTTATCGGACCGGGTCCATACAGAGCGACCAAGCTGGTGAGTGTGTTTGTGAGTGACAGTTTGGTGGGACGTTCAGGAGCATTAGTACAATGACCACGTAAACTACACCATGGGAATGTGGAAAGTTGTAAATATCTGAAGTTACTGCTACACATTTTAATTAGTATGAGTTTATATTCGCACATTAAGCAGAGGAGAAGATACATAGTCAGTCGTAAGTTTTACGAGTGAAGTTTAGAGGTACTTGTGAGGCGTTGAAAATGTCATGTTCTGGTTTGGACTGTGGTTTGTTTTGTATTAGATTACTGCACGTGTCTAGCTTTAGTTGTGACTGAATCCTAATCAGAGATTTGCATTGTCAGCAGTCCCAGTTTTTAGATTATTTAATGAGGTTTAAATAAAGAAACATCGTCAAAAACGGGTATCTACAAGATTTAGAGAAACTCAATGGGTTTAAAGGATGAATGCATAATGTTTACCAACTTTAAGGTCCATTTAATTTCATGCAAAAGCTTCATCTAAAGTATTGTAATTTTTCTGCAGTTGTGTCCATAACATTAGTTTCTATTCCGAATATTCAATTAATGGTAACTGCTTTTTTAGGAAAACACTGAATGTAATAAGACATTTTAGATTTGGCGTTCTACATACATTGTTACATTGTCAACATGTTATTTTTAATCTTGGAGTCAAATTGAAAAAAAAAAACATTGGCCCATGTTATTTACATTTTCCCTGATAACCTCTCTACTGCATTTATCACAATTTTTCAAGGGAAGAAAAGCACATCTGACCGAGTCATTAAAGGATGGCTCCATTCTGTAACATCAGCCGAGCAAGCGTTAGTAGGATGGTGCAGAAATGTTATGTGTGAAGCTAGAAAACTTAAAAAAAAAGAAAAAAAATCATGATATTACTGGAATGATGCTGAGGATGTAATACAAGGTCTGCAAGTGCTGCTGAAAAGACACTAATGGCCTCTTACAAAAGAGACAGTGTAAACTTTCTCTAAAGAAATGCTCATGAGACCGGTTCAGTTTAGAAATCTTTACCTGTAAATATTTTGTTCTTATGAAATTCAAAGCAGCTATGATGAGCAGCATCGGGTTCACGGTTTAAAACCCTCTCTGGTTGAAATTACCTTGTCCTGCCTCCTAATGCTGTCTCTGCTTTTATCTAGCTTTTTTTCATTTTCCTCTCAGCCATCTGTACACTTTGTGGGATCTGATAATCTGTAACCTCTGCACCAAACAGAACACTATGAGGACATAATGTTCTCTTTGTTGTGAAACCAGCCTACTTTATTTGTGATAAGAGGGTATTAGAGTAGAGAGTTATTTCTTAGAAAGAGAAACATGCATTGCAGAGGATATTTTTTATTCCATTATAGTTCCTTGGCTCTCTTTGGACTATCTTATAGAACTCAGTGATCCAGATGACCTCCTCTATGAAGTCGAACATTGATATAAAATACAGTGTTAAACACGAGTAGCTTGAGTGACATGTTATTGTCATATCTAACAATATTTTACACAAGACTGCAATTTTGCTGTCTGAGGCAAAGCAATTTCTTCTTACATTCTTCTTTTTTATCTCATCTCTTCACATGGCACCTTGTCATCAGTGGAATGAAACCATCAAGCTGTTCAGAGGAGGCATGCCGCTGAGGAGGCACTGGGCCCACTTCCGCTGCTATGATTGCAGTTTCACAGGATCCGAGGCTGTAGATTATCTGCACGAGCTGCTGAGAAGAAACTACAACTTTGGACCTGAGGTAACTCGCTACCAAACTCTACAGCTGCTCAAGAAGTTTCTCAAGGCCCACGTCATCGAGGATATTAAAGGACGCCATGGTACAGAGGACTTTGAAGACAGTGGTCATCTGTACAGGTAATACTCATTTTATTGTAAGACTGTGATTCTTCTGACTAAATCTGTAATTTCAGACTTAAAGACCTAAAAATGTTGCATATTTGAATCATGGGTGTCCACAAAAAAAGAAGAAAACTGGGTGTAGTAAGCTCTTACCTCAAATAAGAAGGGATTTACAATGTTGGACTTCATTCAAACCTCATTTTGGTCTGCACCAATAGACACACCTCAACTCACTCTTAAACTAGAATCTGCCTGTTGCTCCTATTTTCTCTGAGTGTTTGTTTTATAACAGACATAAAACAAGAAAAGATTTTGATTAACAGTTAATTGTAAATGCATTAATTTTCATATGTAGACATAGATGAACATGTATTGTCTTTTCAACACTTCAGAATACTTCCATATATTGTGGGTGCAAACATGCTGTCATTGCTTTTGCTCAGTCAATGCATTACCTTATCAGCCATATACCGTATTTTTCGCGCTATGAGGCGCACTTAAAATCCATTGGCTTGTCAGAGCACTGCAGCTACTGTAGCCTCGTGGAATTATTGAACGAGTTAAATAAATAATGCGCCTTACAATCCGGTGCACTTCATGTATGACAGGGTTTTTCCTGGCTCAAATTGAGGCAGAGGTGGCACCATCCTGACCATGCGCCATGACGTGCATGTATTTGTAAATTCAACTGACTCATTTTCTTTTACAGGCAACATACTTTAAGTTAAGAGTTCAAAAAAGAGTGTGACCATTATCATGTTAAAGCATTCATTTATTAAAACTATATACATACACAAATCAGCTGGCAACTTTAAATTGAAAGTACACTTCATCCACACATCTCACAACCAGACAGAACATTTCAGCCTCCTCTTTTTCATTCTGTAGAACCTCCTCATGCACTCCTTGTAGTCCAAGGCCTCCTGGTCTGGTCCATCAACGGCCACCTTACAACAGACATCCAAGTGCCTTTCCTTCAGTCTGTTCCGCAGAGGTGTCTTCACCTTAAACAAAACAATTCATCATGCATTAAGTATTTTTGTTTTTATTCTGATACAGACATGAAGAGTGATAGTGTTTTAATCATATATTATATATATGTATACGTTGCAGTGTCCTCCCTAAAAAAACGACAACCAATTATTTCTTAAACTATCTAAACTATGTTATTTTAGTTTTTGTAACTTTATTAGTTGAGTGTTTTTAGGTACTACAATCTTTAATATACTTCTCCTTCTCTTCTGCTGCTTTGTGAACGGCTGTCACCTCATGTCTTTTTAATGTGTCCAGCCTGTAGTTGGTTGATGGCTGTCTCACTAAGGAGGCAGCAATTGCCTGCTGTGTTGGGGCACAGTGCTTTTGGCATAAATAGCAGTGCATGCCTTCCTCAGTATGCCTGAGCCAGGTAAATTGATTGAGCCACTGCTTGTCAAAGCCACTGGCTCTGTGTTTTTGAGAAGATCTAGAAAGAGAAATAAAAACCACGTACACGTTGGTTTTGCGTTGTTATGCTCCTAATTGGAAACTAATTAATTAATTACCCTCACCTCGCCGACTCGTCCTGTCCTGCATTCTGACCCTCGCGATCACCAGTCCCTTGTGAAGTACTTTCAGACCTGACACAAATGTCCACGTTGTCCCCACCATGAGTTATAGCATTTTAACTGCCTGTTACGTTTTTTCTCTGCTGTGTTTCACCTGGACTCTTGACTTTCCTCCTCGCGAGGTCGCTTTTTAAAGTACTGGCTGATTTTGCCTGTCATATCTGCAACGCTAAAAAAACGGAGGAAACTTTTTTTTTAATAAACACGTCATGCTTGGATGCAAAAAAGACAAGCAGTATTTACCTGTTTGTACCAGCCGCCGGGGAAAATCAGGTCGCCGATAGCACCAACTAGCGGGAAAAAAACTTGAAAAAACATGATTCGATCCGTTTCTTCTTCGGTAGATGCTTCAGGTCTTTCCGGTGCACTGCTGTTGATATAGCGCCTTTATAGTGGCGCAACGCTGCAACTGCAGTTAAAATACGTTGCTGCTGCAGAGGGACATCATACACTCAATCAACACAGCTGGAGCTTTACGCTGTGTTGAGCGAAATCAATCGCTCTGGCTGGGGGCGGCACAAAATTAGGTGGAGGCGGCCGCCACGCAATTTTGAACGCAGGAAAAACCCTGTATGAGAATAGACGCGAATAGATGCGTTCATTGATGGTGCGCCTGATAATCAAGTGTGCCTTTATAGTGCGAAGAATACGGTACTGTGTGTCGCCAGAATTGCACATCTGTTGATACTTCAGCTTAATAGTTTAACCTATTATCCACAGATATGGTCACTAATTGTATTGTGCATCTCTAAAACAATTAGACCAAGGTTTGTTAATCTATTAAAATGATATTTAGAGCTGCTTTATGCACATTTAATTAGATTTATTTATCCCTGAAGGGAAATTCAATAAGTGAATAAATTTAAAGTGCTTTAGAGAGGAGATTATCATTTTACATTCTAAAAATATGAGAGATAATGTCAACAAATGTGTTTGTGTTTGTGTGTGTGTGTGTTTTGGGTCAATGCAAATCACCTATCGCATGCCTGACATCAGCGTAGCGCTTAATAGCTGTCTTTGAGTTTGCTGTTTTGGTGACTCAGACATGCTTATTTCACTCTAGTGGATATTGTAGTTGTATTTCATCATTGTACTGTCATTAAATGACTGAAAGGTGGGACTATTGTTTGTGTTTTTGATTAGAACATTAAATGACCTGCTTGGTTAACTAGACGTGCTGCTCTACATTAAAGTAGAGGCTGTCATTTCTTTGTTATTAACCTGTGAAAAACAAAGAAGAAGAAATGAGGCAACTTTGTCTCTACCTCTTGTGTGTTCTTCAGTACACACAACACGTTATGAGGAGTTTGCCTGTAGCAATAGGGCAGCTGAAGAGAGGAAATGTGGTGCCTCGGGAGTGGGTGAAGACATGCAGCAAAGGTTCATGGCCTGGAGTTGAACTAGTGACCACTGCAACGAGGACTTTAACACCAGAGCATGGGCCATGTTCATTCAGAATTTAAGAATCCTGGTTACAGAGTAAAGCAGCACTTCCTTTAAAACTAATGTTCTCCATCATTATTGACCATTTCTCAGGATTTAACTTTATAAACTAAAGTCTTTTGACAAAGCTCCAACAGCTGCTCCTTCTTCCTGCAGAAGGATGTAGCTCAGAGGGACAGAGATTCAAAAAAGTGATAGTGAGTAATGGGTCCTGAAGCAGTAATAAAATACTGGCTCTAAATTTTTAGCTGTTCCCTGCTGTTGGAAAAAAGGCACTGACATTTCAAAGTTCTGGTGCTTTTTCATACTTCAGTCTTCCACCCTTCAGCTGACCCAGTGTTCTTTACTTCCTTTTCAGGTTCCCAACTCTTTCTCCTCTAAAGTCTTTTCCAACAAGACCTCCTTTGAAGGACTGCGCTGACTTGCCCAGACTCATTCGTTGGGATGACTATGAAGAATTGCCTCAGCGGGAAAACATTGCACCACAGAAGTCTTCTGTCATGGTGAGAGAAAGAAAGAGAAGTTGCTGCGCCTCTTTTGGGCGTGTTTTGACCCATGCTGTCCTTAAAGTGCATAGGCATTTTGGAAACTCAATAAATAGCCAATGGAAAAATTTGATCATTTTCTCTGTCCCAGTTTCTAATGTGAACTATGGTTCTCCGTTTTTTTAAATGTCATTTTTATAAAATACAATCAAACTAGAAGGAATTATTACACTATAAAAGCCCAACTGATAAACTACTTTGAGGTGTCTCTATCTCTTTGAACAGACCTCGGATCTGTGGAATAAAAGGCACAGTGTTGCTATCGGGGATGTCCATGAATGCAAGCTCATACGGCGGAAAGAGATCACACCAAAACAAGTGGACCACATTTGGAAATCACTGACTGTTGTACAGTATGTGAAACTTTTACTTCACTTACTTTGCACCTGAACTCTTGGCGTTAAAGGGATATTCCAGCGTAAATTTGGTTAGGGTCAAACACACTGTAACACTGAGTTCGACAGCTCGATTGTTGCAGACTGCTTGCTTCTCTAGTTTTACCAACTTCAGCAATGAGCCCTGACAAGTTGATCACCAAGTGCAGTGGAGTTTCGCAGCTCAAGGAAGAACATTTATGATCATCACTTCATGGAAATGCAATCAGACCGAGATCCTAAGGCAGAAGAACTACCCCGTCTGCAGTGCAAAATGATTATTATGATGATTATTACTTCATGGAAATGATTCGCTGCACTCGGTGATCGACTCGTCAGGGCTCCCCCCACAAACAAGCAGCTGCTGGAGGAGAGTGGGTAAGTTGCGTTTGGTCTCTTTGCTAAAGAAATCAGGCAAAGCTAAAAGATGTTTGATGGCTAGTACTTTGGCTGGGACCCTATATGTACTGTTGATGAAGTTAGGTGCTGTTCTGAGCATTATTTGTGGCTATAGAGTGGCTTTTTGGTTGAGGTTTGCACATGGAGAGGTAGACTGCTGTGTATTGCTATTGTGCTGTTGTTACTAAAGTTGGTATAACTAGAGAAGCAAGCAGTCGGCAACATTCATCTCTCACGGGGCTGTCGAACTCAGTGTTACGGTGTGTTTGACCCTAACTCAATTTTGCGCCGGAATATCCCTTTGAGGTAAACTCTTGTATATGAGCTCTTTAAAAACAATTCAAATTTTTTTTATGTCAGTTAGGCATAAGGCAACCTCCAACAGAGCAGAATCAACAGGAATTATTCAGCTAAAAAAGCAAAAAGTGCAGAGCTCAGTAATTATATCGTATTGTTCCATCATGTGTGCTGACAGCGGTTATTTTTCTCATCCCTCTGCTTGAAAGCATGTTCTGTCACTTTGACAGCCAGGTAATCGTGAATAACTACTCTTTTAACAGTGTTATTTATATCATGAATTAAAAGAAAAAAAAAATACATATATATATATATGTATATATATAGACATCACTATGCTACATTTTTCAGCAATCTCAGCCCACCCCGGAGCCCCTGAAGGGTGCGGACACCCATTTTGGAAACCTCTAGATTATTGATGCTGTATCTGTTCTTGTAGTTTGCAGAGAGTGTTGGGCCTAAAGTCATTGGATGGAGTTTTACACCCAGCGCATGTGAACGGCAAGCACATTGTTCACAATGTGTTCAAGGTTAACAAATCGGGCATTGTAGTGTTGGAGAACAAAGCAGGTATGATACATTTTAATTAAGACTCAAAGAAAAATTGTTTGAGGGCAACTGGGAAGGATGTCATGACTCACTTGTTTGTTTGCACCTCCAGAGGATATGCCATACTGGGTGATCTCAGCGATGAAATGCCTTGCAAACTGTGAGTATACACGCTGTTCACTCTAAAAAATTCTACTGGCACTGAAGCTGCACTTGAATCTTTAAGTTAAACAGTTTATTTTGTGTCGAGATAAACTGTAGTTAAATCCATTTTAGTGCGGTCTTTATGATGCACTGAAATGCATTTGTCCTCGCTCTCCAGGGCCCAACGGCAATGAAACCAAACAGCCAGTGTACCCAGGCTTTGAGAGGGATGTGCTGAGAACAGTAGGAGATTACTTTCAGAGACTCAAAGAACCCCTGCTCACTTTCCATCTATATGAAGTCTTTGTCAACATTCTCAGTGAGTACATCATGATGTGTTTTCCAGAGCTTATATTTGTGCTACGCCAGAGATAAAACAGCAGCTGGTGTTTATTTTGTGTAGCCTGTGTGTTTGCCCTCAGGAGCTGTACTTGTTGTTTCTCATATCTCTGCAGGCCTGCTGCACGAGCAGGACGTGGCCACTGAGGCTCTACAGGTCAGCAGTCTCTTACTGCCCCCGCCAAACCGAAGACGTCTCCAGCTTTTACTGCGTCTCATGGCTCGGGTCTGCCAGAATCCCCTTCTACCTCCACTCAATGACACCATAGCTACCCGCACACTGGTATGCACAGCTGACAGTTATTTACAATGTCTCTATTAACCACTGAGGGTTAATAAGACCATAAATGTGGGAAATGGCATAAATCAGCGTTGTAAAATTAGGGCACAGCATGATGAAAAAAACACAATATGAGTGTCCCAGTCCTGGAGCTGGCACTTCCTTCAGAAAGCTATTAGGTAGTAGCATTTCATAATGAGCAAGCTGAGTTAAGTTTGCCTTAGTTTTGTTTGTATTGGATTTTAAAGATGAAAAGAACACTGACAAAACCTCCCCTGCTGGGAGAAGAAAAGAAAAACATGCAAGCAGAGAGGCGCTGTGGGAAACTAAGTGTGTTCAGATTCTTTCCAACCTTTCAATAAGTTATTAGGATGCAGGGCAATGTTTTCAAAGAGGTGAACAACCTCTCTCTACCCCCCTAAATATATAAAGCAGAATAAAGACTAGTCTGAAATGTCTCATTTTTCGACAGAGGATTTGGTCTTTAATTGGCCAATATTTGTATTCAAGGAAATAGCAACGTGTATAAGCTAATTTCAAAATGCTTGTCATGTTCTTGTGTTATATTGATCATAAATAATGAATAGAAATAGGAACAGCCAGTTTCATTATCTTGAAAATCACCCATAACAAAACAAGGTAACTTCCTGCCAATGTCAATAAAATTTATAGTGGGTTTGTGTCACCCAGAAGTCATTTAAAAGCTGTCGGCATAGATGTGTCTCACTAAATGTCAAATTGAAATTGAAAGCTTGTCCATGCACACCTCATTCTAGAGGTTATTTTGTTCCTGCAGTCAGCATTTCACAAAGCTGCCTGTCATGGTATCATTGTTATAATATGGACGATGTGAAAACTAGATTTGGCGTTGGTTCAGTCATACTAATCATGTTCACATCAGCAGTAACAGCCTCAGACTTGTGCTGCTGTCTCCACAGATTCTTGGCACTCAACAGCGAGCGCTCTCTCTTGAATACCCAAGGTCACACCTCTTTAGAGATATAAAGACAAAAAGACACCAATTGAATCACTCCCGTCTCCGTGTAAACAAAGTTTGCACAAACAAAGTTTCTAAAAGTTAAGAAGAAAAGCAAAACTTGAGGAGGTGACAAAACTGAACAGGGAATGAATATTTAACAGTTTTCTGCACATGTCTAATCGCAGTAATTCATAAGCCTGTCAAACTTGATTAGATCTGAACTGCCAAGATGATAACTTCAGGCCAGATCAATATCAGTCTTATCACTGCATACATCAAGAATTCCAATATTAAAAGCAAAGATGATGTCTGTTCTGTCATTACTTTGGATTTATTGTTCAGATCTTACTTAAATGTGTCTTTTAAGATTCATGTAAAACTTCAGTTATGGGCCGTGTAGTGTTTGCAGCCTCTGATTTTCTCCTGTTGTGGTCTCCTTGCAGATGGTACAGATGTTTTCACACTGCGTCCTGGGCTCAGTAGATGAGATGGACCTGGACGAGCTACTTGCCACAAAACTGGTGACCTTCATGATGGAGCACCACAACACCATCTTCCAAGTCCCCTCCAAGCTGCGTCACCAGGTTGAAGAGCACCTTTCCCACCTCAAAAGGGTCCAGGTCAGTAAACTGAGACGAATTATGCATCATTACTGAGCGACAGTTTGTGTGTAGGGGGGTCTTCTGGTCTGAGCTCTCAGCATTTGCGAACTCATGTTTCTGCTGCAGCTGCTCCCTCCCACAGTCCATTTGCTCTGAGACATATCTGTGCATCATTAGTGGAAATCTTGCGCCAGAGATGTGGTGCAGTCGCTTGTATATTTAGTTATTTGTAAACTGATATGTTACTGTTAAAGGATAACACTTGTCATAGTAACTTGTGCCTCCCCAAGGCTCTCCGAGTTAGGGTGCTCTCCATCCTTACTCATGGGTTATTATAAAAATGAAGATTGAGACATACAGTAGTCATGATATCACAAAAAACCTGATAACAAGCACCACCACCGAATGAGGCAAAATGCTGATGCCTCAGTTTTAACAGCAGTTTTGTGTCATTCATCGCAGTATTTAGATTTAGTTCAACAAACTGCCAGAAGTTTTAAAAAGACACGAATCCAAACTATAGACTGTATATAGAATGGACGCTGTCTGCTTCCTCGCTGGGTGAAGCCACCGCGAGAACAGCACCCTCTGGTGACGGGCTGCAGTATAGGTCATAAATCCCGCCTCCTCCAGCAATCCCTATGGAGCTGTGGACAAACTTTAGAGATTAATTACACAGAATATAAATTTTTCTTCCCCCTGGTTGCGATGTTGACATGTAGTTACTGGTTTGTGCTCAAGTCCTCTTTTTTCTGTGCAGCGTCATTTTTAAAAGTTATTGGATTCATTTTTTCTACAATTGACACGTGATACAGACTATGGGCGTACGAAGATTGTGTAGCTCACCCAGGGGATACGCTGTTTGAGCCGTGTGTCATCACAGAGACTCTTGATGACTCTCCTGCCGAATGCGTACAACGCCCCTGCACCAGTGGTGGTTCCAGGAAGTGGAGAAAATCCCAGAAATACTGAGAGCAATTTGGCTTCAAATCCGTATAATGACAGAAGGCGGAGCCAAGTTGTCCATAGTTTATACAGTCTATGATCCAAACCCTTTGTGATTATGTTAACTGAAAAACCCCAAAAAGCTGCACAGCAGGGGAATAGATAGTTACATCAGAAACTTATTTGCATTATTTCCATCACTATACAAGCTTACTTTGTATCACATCCCCGTTTCTTAAAAAGAAAAAAAAACAACATGAAATGCTGTATTGAATCTCAATAATGACAGAATTTAACGATTTGTATATCCCTAGGGCCAGCAATCTATTTCCAACAAGTCTGGGCATGGTCATTTTGGTCTGCTTCAAACTCACACAGACGAGTTCAGATTTTGTACCTTGTCTGGTTTGCTCCTGTCATAAACTCCTCTGTTGTAAGATCTGTGTTCATACGTATTACACTAAGGATGAAAATTTAAAAAAAGCTGATCAGAGGACACTTTTTTTGTTGTACTGAAACACAATGTCCCTGTAGCTTGTTGTTTATCTGTTTCTGTGGCTATCTTCAGAAATATAAAAAAAAGGCCTCTGTGTAGTAGTCTGCGACGCAAGATACCGTCATTATAACCCTGTAGGAGCGATAGTACCATTTCTTTTGATGAATAAGTGGCCTTGCAGCTTATATAACATTTAACAGTGGGGTACACTCTCACAATATAGAAGGAAACATTATGAACTGCTGTGAATCTTACAGGGACAAGTAGTGGTTTGCTCAGTGTCTGTATGCAACACTGGTTGTTATTAGGCATGTGCCGATATGAAAAATTTGATGTCACGATATCGGTGGCCCAAAATATCACGATATTATCACGATATTTGCGCATTGCTTTTAACGTTATTAAAAATGGCAAAAAACTGCGAAATCACTTTTCTGTGCACAGCATGACATGCACAAACAATATGTTGTTATTGTTTAGAAATTGTGCAGGACTGGTGGAGACAGGCTTGAAGAGCTGTAGTTTGTGTTTGATTTATCCTTTTTCTTCTATAGAGGGTGATTGCTTTGCTTTGGTTGATTGATATTGATGTATTCATGTGTTTTCTTTGGCAGGAATAACCAAATATGCAGAACGCAGACTGTATTGACTGTCAACATCATGTGTTCAACAAAATAAAAGCCTGAAAGATGTGATCATTTTAGTCCAACATTGGCAGCTAAAGCTAACACATCCCACGCTGGGATGAGGACTGAAAACATCTTGAAACTCAGAAATTGTTTTTTCCGCATATATTGAAAAAGGTCTATACTCATCTATAAAAGAGAAAAGGAGAGCATTTATGAAACATACAGCAGTTTGTGTCTCTTGATATGTTCACTCATCCAACATTTCCCTTGTGTCTTCTATCAGATCAAATACGCCGGCTCAGATACAGACTTCACTTCATCTCCGGCCTTCTGTAAACAGATCAGCAGGGTGGACTCTGAGGAGCAGAAGGTGATAGGGACTCAGACCCCCCTGCAACAGCTGCTTGAAGGCCTGATTGCAGACACAGAACTGCCTGCCAAGGACAAGAAGAAAAGGCTCAAACAGGTATGGCTTTATTTATTCGTAAAGCAACATGTTAAAAGAGAACTGTCACAAAGTAAAAATCTTAGTGAAGGTTTTATTTATTGGAAATGTTTTTTGAAGTTGCTCTGTTTTGAGTCTTTTTTCTTAAAGTTGGTGTGTTTTATATGTGTAATCCCAAGATCACAAATTTCTGGAGGAGCTGATAGATTTGGGCACAGGAGTTCAAAGAATTGAGTTAACTTTGGTTTGCATATATTATTCAATAATGATACATATCCCTGCTACCTCTGTAGTTTCAGAAGTCGTACCCAGAGGTCTACCACAACCGATTTCCCACTGAGGAAAGCAAAGCCGCCGTCATACCTGAGAAAGCCCCCCGGCTCAAACCTCAGCTCATGTTCTTCAACCTCAAGAAACCCTTCCAGCCTTTCCAGAGGAGCTGGAGTTTTAGGGCGTGATCTGCTGCTGCTCTGACACATCTGCACTACAGGCTGCAAACACAACTTAACACAAGCATCACGAAACAAAGGAGCAGTGTCACGGTAACGATGCTCCAATCTCACACAAGATAACTGTAAATTAACTACAGTGGACTTTGTATTACTCTTAAGAAAGGAAGGGATCAGCTTGCTTACCTAGGAAACATTTATTATCAAGCACTAAAAACAATCATGGATATATTAAGATTGCTGAACTGACCTTACAAAATACATTTGAATTTAATGTAGCGATAGAAAACTTGAACAAACAAATTAGTATGCTGTAATAGCACTAGCACTGAAAGAACCACTGATGTTTCTTTGTAAAAGAACACTAAACAGTTGTCCTAATATTTAGTGATTTGCCTAATCCTTGGCTAAAATACTGTATTTTTGAAAAGACCATAGCATAAATAGGAGGCTCCTGACAATGCCGTGTACACCTCGAACTAAATTCAATAAGAGCATTTCAAAAATATCATTAGATAATTAGTTGCTAATGTAAAAAGTTTGTAAAATTAACAAGGGCCAATTATTGTTACATAGTATTGTACAGTGTTGAAAATACAGACACATTTCTTGGTATCACAAACCTTTGTTATAAAATTTCAAGATTACGTATTTCATTGGCTGGATTTCTGCGATGCAAAGTTGCATTTCATGATCAGATTTTTCATCTCAATATCGAATCAGTCCCTATATTTTTAAATTTAGGGTATCAGAGCCTAGATGCTCAAGTGAACATATCAAGTGATTGCTGAGAAAGGAAATGTGACTTGTTACATGTGTAAAAAGTTCTACATCGAGCCACACATGAGGGAAAAGGTCAGTCAAAAGTATCTCTTTCTGAACACCTTGAGTCCTAGTGTCGGAAAGGTGAAGATGTTCACACCACTCTTTCTCTATCTCTCTCACTCTTCCCAGTAACTTACTTGAAAGGTCTTACTGCCTAACTGCACTCTAAGAACAACTCATTTCATGTTTTTACATGTTGGTTTTATTCTGTATATAAGAACTATTTTTATCTGTTGGTACATATCTCAATGTCTGGAATACTCTTTCACTGTATTCTCTGTATTTCGTCATTCTCTACACGTTGCTGCTCTGTCACTTCAATCAGGTTGTATTTCACTTAATTTGAAACTTAATTGTGTTTTTTTTTAATTTTTATAATAATTTAGTGCTGATATTTCTGTCTACATTCCTAGAAAATCTCTTGAACAAATAATGCTGGAATTACTGTTACACTTGAACTGCTGCTCTTACCCGGAAAAACACCGGCTTTCATATAAAACTGTGTTTGGGAAAACATAATTTCTTTTTGCTTTCTTTAAAAAAAAAAGATTAAAAAGGGTTCTTGATTCAATCCAGAGTATGCTAAAAACACTGACTGAGTTCCCTACTACCAACCGGCATGCAGGTGTTTATTATAACGTTCTCTATCAGTTTCAAATCAACTCCAATTTTTGAAGATTTCTTTTTTATTTTATAAAATATAGCAAAAAGAAATTGACTTTGTGATGGAGGAGGTCAGCACCAGCTTGACCCTTAAAGCAGGACTAATAAGTCGAAATTTTTGTGAAAGAGGAATACAATAAAATTCACAGTAGGCCTCTAACGACAGTGGCTCGGTGTGTTTGCCCCATGGCCCTAATTAGGATTGAGAGTCCGAGTTTTATCGTTATTCAGATAGCTCTAAAAGTGATTTAATGACGCAGAGATATCAGAGCAGTCCCTGATTAGTGAGTAACGAATATTTTAAGTTAACATTTCCATTAAGTAATAATCATCATAATAATCATTTTGCACCGCAGACACAGTCGTTCTTCTGCCTTAGCATCTCAGTCTGATTGCATTTCCATGAAGTAATGATCATAAATGTTCTTCCTTGAGCTGCTAAACTCCGCTGCACCCGGTGATCGAATTGTCAGGACTCCCCCACAAAGGAGCGGCTGCTGGAGGAGAGTGGGTGAGTTGTGTTTGGTCTCTTTGCTAAAGAACTTAGGCAAAGCTAAAAAGATGTTTGATGGCTAGTACTTTGGCTGGGACCCAATATATACTGCCTATGAAGTTAGGTGCTGTTCTGAGCATTATGTGGCTTTTATGGTTGAGATTTGCACGTGGCGACAAACACCGCTGTGTATTGCTATCGTGCGGTCATTACTTAAGTTGGTATAACTAGAGAAGCAAGCAGTTGGCAACAATTATCTCCCAAGGGAGTGTCTAACTTGGTGTCACGGTGTGCTTGACCCTAACTTAATTTTACACCTAAATATCCCTCAAACAGCTCAGTAAGGAAAACACAGTTCATTCATACTAAAACGTCTTTGTTTAATACCACAGTTGCACTTCGTTATTGAGGTTCATTTGCATTTTTCCCAGACAAGTGCTGTAGAATAAAAGAGTGTAAAGCAGTCTGAAGTGAAAAGATAACCTTATGTTGCCTGCCCTGTCTGCCCTGTTTCTGACTTCTGTTTGTCCTCGCTGTTTGCACACTCGAAAAGCTTTTTAACTAATGGTTATTATAGAGAGTGTAGAAAAGTTAATCTTGGAGTGGAGGTTGCTAATTTGTGGCATATTACAGACAGCTCAGAAATCAGCTGCTGGCACCTGTGTGACTTCACGAGGAAATCGCTCACACAGAAACATGTAACAGGATAAACAGAGCTTCCTCTAAAGAGTGTGGGGTTATAAGGTTTATTCCTCTAAAACGAATAACAGTATTCAAGTCCTGCATACTGCCACATTTAAATTTGCCACTGTTGATGATAGGGTTTCGCAGGGAGGGTCATAAAAATTCATCTGAAGAGAAACTGAGGCTGTCAGGGCAATTTCACAAAATAAAAAGTAAAATAACAGTCATGGAAGAGTTTAAGCACCTAAAACTTAAAGTTTGTACCTGAAAATATCCATTAAGCTATTTTCATAGAAACGCTGTTCATACTTGAAACAATTCAAGGACTTAAGGGACTTTATTGTCATACCCCTCACCTTTTACAATTTGTGGTATGAAATTAGTACCCAGATCTGTTTCCAAGCCAAAAATGCAATACAATACAAGAGCAATCATAAAAACATGAGCAATACAAATACAAGGGCAAAATGTAAACAAATTAAGTAAAGACTGAAATCAGCCCTGTTGCACAATTTTTTTCATTTAAAACCAGCACCCTGGTTGATAAAATGATGTAGTGATGTACATTCTCCACATAGCAAGTATTTAACCACAATGTATTCATGCAGGAGGTGAAGGAGAGGGGCTTCATAATAATTGTGGCTGTTTTGCATTCATGCCACCAAAAATGTAGAATTAATAGTGCACACGTCAAACACAAGAGTGAGAACACCATACTGGCTGCTGAGGTGAGCAGAAAAGCATTTAAAGCAGCAGGACTGAAAAACATCATTGACATTATCAACACACCCACTCACCCACTGAGACTGCTTCAGACATCCACCTGCTGTGTTCGAACATCAGCCCACTCTGACATTACATCTGTACTTAGACAGGCAGCTTGGTACACTGGTGTCGGTAGGATACTTGCTGTAACCTTTACTCATTAATATTATTCTTATTCTAAAACCACTGAGTGTATATGGACATGATGGCGGTGTATGACGAGAAAAATGTGCTGAGACCATACAGTCATATTGTTTCAGTTTCATAAACTCTAACTGTATCTGAAAATCATGACTGTGATGCACTAGTCAAGGTTTTTAGCAACTAAAAGATATATATATATATTTAAAGCGCTTTTTGTTTGACACCCTTGGGGGACAAAGCGGTCTTCGCTTATTATTTCCTCTACCTGCTAAAGTTGTGTCTTCTAAAGCTCGTCAAATGTCTCACTCATGGTGAGGTGAATTTCAGTAGACAACATAAAAAGCAGGCAGTTTCTCCAGCCGCTTGGTTGACATTTACCCCCTCTCACTCATGTCAGGCACTAAGAATGACTACATACTGTATTAATCATCTGTCTCAACACTGATGGTCTTGTCTTCTTTTGTTTTACCATAGAAGGCATTTATACCAATTTTAGTCTTATTTTTAAACGTCAATAAACTTCTCACAGGAGCTTTAAACAGAAATAATCCCTTTGATTTGATTGTAGTTCATCAGTATTTTTAATCAGCCTGTGTGTGAGTCAATTAACATTGAATGCAGCATCTTCATCCTCAGTTAAATCTTTCTGTTCTTCATGTTGGTTTGTGTCGTCAATCTGCTCTTTCTGTATTTTTACATCTCCATGTTGAAAGATTTTCTTCTCACATCTTTTCTCTGCCGTAAACTTTTGCACTCTACTTGAATACGGAGTAATTAAATTTTTTACCCATGTTTTTAACCTATGCTTTGCTAAAACTTGCCATGATGTCAACAAGAGATGAAATCATAAACTTTGTAGCCATGCCAGACTCATTTTAGCAGATTAATATGACAAGTGTGATCATTTCATCCCTGGAAAGGGTTTAACACAGCTAGGTGACTGTACCTATAAACCTATAAAAAATAAGATTAAAAAGAATTCACAGACAGACATCCATCATGATCATAGACATATTTATTACAGCAGTAGAACACTGTGTTTGGCGCCCAGGCTTTGACTTCATCTCTTCTCACAGATTTATTATACATGCAGAAATTTACAGAGTGATGAGACAATCTTGGATGCTTGGAGGGTGGTGAAGCTGGAGGTACGAGCGGAGCACAGGGGCAGGAGCAGGGCAGCAATGACATAACAAGGATAGACAAGAAACCAAAAAATAAAAGGATCAGCCAATGTGATGTAAAACCAAGAGGACAAAATGTGCAAAGCATGAAATCATATCAGAGTGGAAAGCAATTACTAGCCATAAAACCTAATAGATGAAACAGACATAAAAGCAGTAAAAGATATCAATCAGCTGAAAAGGAGAATGACTTCGTAGACGTGACTGAAGTAATACAATAAAAGCAAGAAGATGAAGGGAGATGATAGGCCTTACCATGACACCGTCACATATAACAGTGTTTGAAATGGAATAATATTAAAGGTGTCACTGATTCTGTTACCTTTGGCTTCAGCACTACCATGACAGAGTGCTCTGTATTAACATGGACTGAAGCACAGGCTTTTATCTTGGATACTCAGACAGTAGCTCAAATCTTATCTTACTGATTGGAAATATCACCTAAAACTATGGTGTTCATTTTTATATGCTGATGAGGCAAATTTTTATATCATGGTATCTTTATGTTAGTTTGTATAAGAATGTGGGGTTCCTGATTTGATGCTGCAACATGAACTCAAAACACTGTAAGATGCAACAAAGAAATTAATTACTGAGTTTTGACTGCAGTTCATCATTGTACTGTATAGAGATGCAGTGACTGTTACCTATCTAATGCTAGCAGCTATGCAAGCTGAGCTGACATAAAGTTAATCTAATCAGGGTGTATTTACATAAAGTATGATTTAAAAAAAAAAAATCAGTGTGTTCATTTTCACAGCGGTTGGTCCTTTTGACTGACTGTCAGCTTTCTATACATTTTTAACAGCTTCTTGAAGGGTCCACTCAAAGGCGCCAGTGCCACACCACCCATGAAGTGCTTTAATGGGAGGTTTAAGAGGTTGGCAGCTGCTTTATAAACAGCCACCTCTACCTTGTCAAATTATCCAGAGAAGCTGTCAAGAAATGGCTTCCTGTCTGAAGGCCTCACAAGACTTATACGACATACAGTAGTTTACAGCAGAACATGTAAATCATGGCCTTTCCATCTTATCCAAACCTGGCAACAAAGTTTTCCAAAACAGAACCCACAGGAGAAGGAGCAGAAGTGGATTAGGACGATGTCAGAGCAGCTCAACCTAAACAGAGTTAGTCAACCTGAGTCAACAGGCTTGAAAATGTTAAGATTAAGTTCACTCAAATGTTCATGTAAATGTAAACTCACCCTAAGACAAGTTAGTTTCACTCACTTAAGGTTCTTTCACACCGGGAGCGTTTTTTTCGTGCGATTATTTCGAACATCAATATTTTTTTCAAACCCGTATCCTGTCAATACAAGCGTTCACATCAGCAATGTTTTCCCGTCCTGCAATATTGCGGCATTTATTTTTTCGTATCACGGTTGAATTTTCTAAAGTTTCGCATACTGTGTGTCCACTTCTGACCAATCAGATTTTGTGTTGCTGCAGTGTCAGATTCACCGGTATATCCAACATGGCCGACCGACTGATTGTTTACGTGTCGGAGAACAGAGTGCTTTTTGATAAAAGACACAAACATTACAAAGATAAAGACCTGAAGGACAACTTGTGGAGAGTCATA